GAACATATGAAAAGTGCACATTGAATATGAATTAGAATCCCTCCTAAATTTAATTAGTATTAAAATAGATTTTCAATCTCATTAATCATTAGTTGTTAAGTTTGAGACATTGTATATACTATGTTCATAGATCAAACAATTTTCTCACTTTTCATGAAACAAATTTTTTTCTTATATTTAAGATTGGATAGGGGTACTATTTATTCAAATTAATTAAATACAAAAATTACGATGACTTTTTGCTGCTACACAACTCTTTGATTTTAATTTGTTAAAATAGTGATAAATCTAAATTAAATTAAACATGAACATGTTCTTATTTTCTCGTTGCCATAGTATTTAGATAAAAGAAAAAGAAGGAAAAAAAAAAAGACATGGGCAGTTAATTATGTGTCCTTGTTGATAATAATATTTTTGCATTTAGGTGAAAAATATAATTGGCGATGAAGAGATATTTTTATCACATGTATATATGTATAGATAGTATATTTCTATTTTATTTTATGTTTCATATTCCGTACAATGTCTAAACAGCTCATCTTCTTTGTTGGTAAATGCCAATAAAAATGACCCGATCACATAAGCGACCAAGAGCAAAGAACCTAGACAGCTCATCTTCTTCTCGCGTCATGTTTTACATAAAAAAAATTAGCAACTGTGATGACATAAATTTCTTGGCTAAACAAATTGATGGATTTGGAATTGGAATTAATACAAGACTCTGTCTTACTACCTTTTTACTATTTTTTAAATAGCAGCATGTGATGACTGTTGGGAGTTTGGAGTTATGAACATGCTGTAAAGGTCCTTTTGCTTGATTTTTTTGGTAAAGTATTCGTTATTTTTCCAAAGGTCCATTTTCACTTGGTATGCGTGATCATGTCTCAATCTTTATTTAATCAAAGCTTTACTCTTTTCCCCCTCACTAGTCATGTGCTCCTTCATGTATGGATTTTGTTTCCCATTTCGTGTAGTTTGCACTATGCGGCTATCATTTATTTGTTGAAAATTATTAAAAAATTCCGTTGATACAATCTTTAATTTGATCGCTGTATTTGTGCTATTATCTATTTTGACACTTGTTAAATTATTATAATTTTATTTTTATTATCTAGTTTGAAGTATTATTTTATTTTATTATCATAATTTTATATTTTAAAAAATTCCAATAAATTAAGAAATAATAGTATTTATAAATTATTTTTAATCTTGATTCTTAAATAATATGAAATTTTTAGTTATACCAAAAAAGTTACCTTTATTGATAAATTAATTTTGTTACTCAATATGTGGATTATTATGGTTTATATATATTTTTTACTAAAATACATGTATCATCTATTATAAACAATTGTTTGGACCAAAATAATTTTACGCTAGTAGATATATGGGTTCTATTATAAATAATTGTTTGGACAAAACTAATTTTATGCTAGTAGATATATGGATTTGGTGGATATTAGTTTATGAGTTATTTGTTACATTTTATTTATTGTATTTGACAAGATATTTAAGGAGCTTATAAGTTCATTTAATCAATCTATAGTCTACTTTAATCAAGGGAGTGTATAGATTGAGATTTTATAAGTTTTTTTATCATCAAACTTTTTTCTTTTTGTGAATTTTAAAAGATTTTATAGAAATTTAACGACTTTTAATTATTTTTTTTCAAAATACTTTATAGGAATGTAGTGATTTTTATTTTTTTTAAAAAACTTTTTTAATCAAAATTTTGTAATATAAATTTTAATGGATCTATATTTTAAGAATTTATATGACTTAAAATAATTTTATTAGATTTCAAAAGATAATATAAATTTTTTTAAAATAATATAATTAAAAAAAATAACATAAATGATAAGATTTGAATAAAAAAATAAAATCAATAATTTTTAATCTTTTTAATAAAAAATTGATTATACTTTCATGTTTTATTTAGTAACATATTTTCATAAATTAATTGAAATAGCTTATAACTTATAAGTTTTTAAGTTTTTTTTTTCTTTTTTAGCCTCAATAATTTACTTTAAGGACTTTTTATTTTTAATTTATAAATCATTTTACCTACATGTCATTTGATAGAGATAACTTATAACACTGTACATTATTGTTAATTATTGTTGATTTTATGGAATATATATGTTGTGATGATTTTGAGGTTAATTGGTGAGAAATTATGAGAATTTAGGGGTTTTCTTTAGTTTTAGGGAACAATACAATTAGGTAATTCATCCCACTAACCCACCAATTCAAGGTAAAGTAGGTTATTATCTTGAGTCATAACTCACACACTTATATATAATCTTATAATATATAAAACATGTTTAAATATATTTGTATTTTTATATAATTAAAAAATAATATTATATATTTATAAAATAAAACAACTCATGTGTCGAAATGAATTAATTTTTAACTATTTTCTTTATTTTGTAATTTTTTTTGGCGAGTTTTGATTGACCCATTTCCTAATATTTTGGTAGTGTCTATGGCTAACGGCTAACCCACTTCTAAAATTATATTTCTCAATCCATGATACATCAACATGTTTTGCCCACTTAAGATAAGATGATTGTGACCGGATCATTTTGGCCCAAAATAAATTAGTTGGTCCAAATTTTGTCCAAATCATCACAAATATTTATAAAGATGGACATTTGCATCGATTGCCTAATATTATTTTGAGCATGTTTGTTTCATAGCTAATATACGTAGAATTAAAAAAACTAAATATTCAATTTTTAAAAATTCATTATTTGTGTTGAATAGAAGTAAACTTATTGTAATTTTTTTCCATCCAAAAATCATTAAAGTAAAATTGATCTATTCTAATAAAACATTTTTGTATGATTAACTAGATAATATTATTTAATATATTCAATAGACTAACCAAAATTAGTAGTAAATCAAACAACAGGAAATTAAAAATAAAATTTTGTCATGTCCATACCCTTGCAAGTTTCTATGTTCAAATTAATTGTAACGACCCGGCTGGTCACTACACTCACAACCACAGCACACCGAAAACACTAGACAGAATAGAACGAGTATATAAATATAGGATCTAGAATATAAATATATACAATGTTCCAATCCGACTAGAGTTAGAGTGTACAAACGAAATACAACAAAGTAGCCAGATAGTGGCCCAACAAACAACATCCGCCAAACAAGACTCCTCCCTTTGCCAGCTGCTGACTTGCCACTATAGCCAGTCTAACCCTGCTCTGCTCCCATACATAGTATGATCATCGCAGTCCAAATCACATGGAAACAACTAAGGATAAGCTAGTGAAAAAGAAATAACATACATAAATATATAAATAGTAATTAGCTACCCCTATCAGCACAATCAAATCAACACATCAATCAGCTTAACAAAATCCATTTAAAATTTCACAACATTCGGCAATAACAGCACACATCTCACATCATCAGCATACAACTCATCAACCATACAGCATAACAGCAATAAAACATACAATGCGTCGTCACGCATATAATTTAGTATTGGTCGCTTGTAATCGGTATAGGTCGACCTGGCCCCTATACCGTGGTCGCTTTGTACACGTGTGCCTCGACCTTGCCCACACACGGGACCACTAAGACTTAGAGCAGAACAACAAGTTACCACTCTAAAGGTCAGCTTCCCAGGGAGGGTTTTCAACAAATTGGGCTC